TTACAAGAAGGTAATTCATCAAAATTTAAGAGAAAATAAAATAATAAAAACTAATATTCGTTCTGCAAATATGTAGTATTATGTCCATTTCAAATTCCACAAATCATACTCAAAAGGTTATATTAATTAGTAGGTATTTGTTATTATATTTATTTAATTATTTTCAAAAACAAAATCATAACTTAAAAAGTCCACGTGCAAAGAACGTGTGCACGATCTAGTATAAAATAAAAGTAATTTAAGATGAAATTTTTTTAAATCTCTCTTTTACCCTTATAAATGATTGCAAAGACCATTATATCTTTTCACAATTAAATATTTAAATTAATATCATATTCTCATATATTTAACTCTCCAAATTATATATAACATTTTTTTTAGTTATCTATTCTCTATGTATAAATATCAGTTTCCATAAAATTTTTTGATTGACTATATTACTCTTAAAAAATATGCATTAATATGTTTTTAATAAAGTGTCAAAAAAATCTTCAAAAACTCCATCAATCTAATATTACCCATCGCATATGCAAAGATAATATCATCTCTATAGATGTCCATTTTCTTTTTTATCGAAAAATTTAATCATTTCATTTCTAAGATAAAAAATAATTATATGAATAATTTTTAAAAATTAATTTATGTTATATCAATATAATTCTTCAATGACAATAAATTTTCTAAGTCGTACTAAGATTTTATGTAAAAATAAATATTACAGTGTATTTTTAAGTAATAATATATTAAATCTTATCTTAATTTACCTAACTAATTCCTAATTACAATAAGATTCCAATGTGATTAGTATATTATCAATTACTTTTATTTTTTCAAGAAATTATAAGTGGAATCCTAATCAAGCGAATTTCAAAAAATTTAATTTCTCAAACATTACTAAAAAATTAATCTTAATTAAAAAATTCTACAAAATTAAAACTTTAACTATTTTTTTTATAGTTAGAACAAAGAATTTTAGCAATATGCAAAGTTTTCATAATCTTATAATAGAATATGAGCAATACAAAAGTAAGTTTGATAAATTTGAAATGATATTTGATTTGGATATACATATACCTAATATATTTTCTTAATTTTTTTGTACAAAAATTATTCACATGCAACGCACGTGTGCATTATTAGTATACTAACAAGCAAATACATGTGCGTGAAAGGACTATATGCCATAAAAAATTGTTAATTAGGAAAACTAAGAAAAAGCGTCAATCAATATAAAATGGGCCCTTTTAAAAAAAAAAAATTGATAGAGTACAAATAAAAAAAAATTCTCAAATATTGTTCAAGGATCGTTTAATTTTTGAAATGGTACAAATTAGTGATTTATATCCAAATAGTGGTAAATTCAAAAATAATTATGGTATGAACACAATTAGATAAATATGAGATAGAAAATAAAGGGAGGGGGATTAGGAAATGAACTACAACAAAAAATATAATAAGCATAAACAAAACTTAAAAAATTAAAACTAATGTTTGTAATACTCTACTTGGTTGAATTACACTTTTTATCCTCATATTATGTTGATAATTTGGGGTACGTTTGATAACGTTTTCATTTTTATGTTTTTTTTATATAAAAAAATAGAATTAAGTTCTTTTTTTTTTTGTTGTGATAAAAATTTAAAATATAAAACATATTTAGTAGTCATTTATATTTAAAAATTTGTAAAAATAAAAGCAAAAAACATGTTTGATATTATACAAAAAATTCACCACCCAAACCCCACCACCCAAAACCACTGACCACTCAAAACCACCACCCAACCCCACCACCGAAACCAATAACCCACCCCCACCACCAAAACCCACCTCCAGAACCACCAAAACCCCACCACTGAAACTAGTCACCACAACCACCGAAACACCACCATCAAAACCGAAATTTGCCACCACAACCACCGAAACCCAACCCCAATCCAACCACCGAAACTCACCCCCACCACCACCGAATCCCACCCCCACCATCAAAACCCACAACCCACCTCCACCACCACAACCACCAAAACCCATTACCCACCCCAAAAACCCATCCCTAAAACTCCCTAGCAAAACTCATCACCCAACCTAGAAACCCACCATCACAGAAGGGCGAGAGAGAAAGAGAGTGAGTCGAGAAAGGCCAGAGACTTGAAAAAATTGAGTGATTGGCGATGGCTTTGGCTTTGGCTTTGGCTTCGGCTTCGTCGTTGGCATCGAGAGAGAGACGATAGACAGAGAGGGGTGAAAGAGAGATGACTTTTTATACCTTAGCAAAAAAAATCTATTTTTTGTTGCTAAGGAGAATCGAAGTCAAGACCTCATTAAAAGTCGTGCACATGTTTTTTTTTGGAATCTTTTTGGATATTTCCATATTTTAGCCTTGTTTTTAAAAGGGAGATGTTAAAAAAAAAAAAACATTCACTAAACATATTTTTGTTTTTTTAGACATAAAATGAAAACAACAACGAAAAGAAAACAAAAACAGGTGATTACCAAATGCCACCTTAGAGAATGCTCATTTTGCCCGTAAATAGTTTTATACTATAAATAATTTTTCTCTATTCTTCCAAGTAATTATGGCAAAACTTCCTCTAAAATAAGACCTCACAAAAATATAAAGAAACCCTCTTAAGTAAAGATGAATTTTTCATGGGTAAATTGCACTTGTGGTCCCTAAAATTTGTCATTTGTTGCACTTTTGTCCCTAAACTTCTAATTTCGTCCTCAATGTTCATACATTGATTCACTTTAGTCCTTATCCCTAACTTCTGTCCAAAACAGTAACGGAAAATGTCATGTGCCAAGCACATGTGGGTACTAAGGGACATTTTTTGTATTTTATAACAATTTATCTTTTCTTTCTTGCTTCTCCTTCCTTTTTTTTTTCTCTTCTCTCTCCCGCATAAATCATTATCTTCCTCACACAAAGAGACATCTCTCTCTCTCTCTCTCTCTCTCTCTCTCTCTCTCTCTCTCTCTCTCTCTCTCTNTTCCTCACACAAAGAGACATCTCTCTCTCTCTCTCTCTCTCTCTCTCTCTCTCTCTCTCTCTCTCTCGTTACTGTGTTTCCACCCCCAAACCTAACACAGATCTCTCTCTGGTTACTACATCTCCATCCCCAAACCCAATACATCTGTCCCTCGAAAACCTTAACACAAGATCACAAATACACATCCACAACACAACACACATAGTCATACTCACAAACGTAGAAATGCATAAACCCAACAACTTTTTATCTTTGAGCTCAGTGAGCGAGAAAGAGAGAGAGATCTCCACAAATGCAGCAAACCCAACAATTGTATCTCTCTCGTTGCACACAAAATACAATCACACAACCACCAATACCGCCACTGATCCACCGCCTACTAATCAAATTTCAATCAAAATTTAAAACAAATACGAATCAAAAATCCCAAATAGAATGAAAAATGAAATTAAAATAAAATTTAAAACATAAATCGAAATCAAGTTTGAATTCAAAATCAAAATTGAAACCAAAAATGAAATAAAAATCAAGGACATGTTTAGGGGTGGAATGATTGACAATTGGGGGGGGGGGGGGGGNGGGGGGGGGGGGGGGGGGGGGGGGGGGGGGGGGGGGGGGGGGGGGGGGGGGGGGGGGGGGGGGGGGGGGGGGGGGGGGGGGGGGGGGGGGGGGGAGCCTGCTCAAGTGGGTTGGTGGAGGTGGTGTCAAGCGTATGAGTTTTGCAATGTTTCTTTTGATTAGGGTATGTATTGTATTTGTGTGTGAGGCGTTGCGAATGTAAAAGGGCAAAGAGGAGAAGAGAAGAGAAGAGAAGAGAAAGAGAGAGAGAGAGAGAGAGAGAGAGAGAGAGAGAGAGAGGGAGGAGATAGAATCCAGCGGTGGCGATTGATTCCAATAGTGGTGGGTGGTAACGATCGATTCCAACGGTGGTGGGTGGTGGTCGCTGGCAAAAGAGAGTGAGAGAGAGAGAGAGAGAGATGGGGTTGGAGAGAAAAAGGACAATATTTTTTTTAATCTTTTTGTGAGACTATTTTATTTTTACATGTATGCCCAATGTTTTGAGAGTATAATGATCAAAATACCTCTCAATACCCTCATGTGCTTTGCACTTGACATTTTTCGTCACCTTTTTGGATGAAAGTTAGGGGTAAGGACCAAAGTGGGTCAATGTGTGAATATTGAGGCCGAAATTGACAAAATTAGAAATTTAGAGGCGAAAGTGTAACAAGTGACAAACCTCAGAAACCATTAGTACAATTTACCCATTTTTCATGTATTGTACTCGAACATGTTTGTGGAGAGATAGCATGTTATCAACAGAAACTGCTCTTGATCAAATTTATATGATTAAGATGATAAGAATCTTACGGATCATATTATCTTGAACTGTTTACGTCTTAGATTACTACTTTTCTTCAATGAAATTGTTTTTTTTTTTTCCACTTTTGTGAGTGATTTACCACATTTGTGAGTGTTTTTATCATTGTTGTGTATATTTTTATCACTGTTGTGGTAATTATTTTTACTATTTTTTTTGATACTGCAACAGTTATAAAAATTCTTATAATAATAATAAAAATATCTATAAATGTATTAAATAGAACTATGATATCAAAAAAATTTTTGGGTACTATAGACATCTCATTTTCTTTGGATCCTAGACAAGGTAGGCATTCACTTGGCAAGATTGTCCTCATTTACCAGAACAGTGGTCACAAGGATGGATTGCATTACCTTTTTTTTTTTTTGAAAGGAACAATGCAAAAGATTCTTTAGGTAGGAAAGTTCTGGTTATAATCAAAAAATAAGAAAGCCTGAAGCTCGGGGGGAGGACAGCCCACCCAACTCAGCGGAAGTGAGTTAGATACCGTCATAGCTGCAACCCAATGAGCTGCTCAGTTAAGAGCCTTTGGCTTGTGAAGGAACCGTAAATTTAAAACATTAGCAAAAAATCGAATGTCAGTAACATAGGCACAGATATCCCCTGGGGGAGAAGTGTCAGAAGAACTTAACTTGATCATCTCCAAATTATCACTAACCACAGTTGCATCAAGTAAATCAGTTGCGGAAGCCAAAAGGCAAGCATCTCTAATTGCAGCTGTTTCAGAGAAAAGGCTAGAGACAGACGGAATTTTTTTTGCAATACCATCCACCATCATCTCATTGGAACCATGAAGAATCACCCCAATGGCAACCTTACCATTCTTGAATGCTCCATCACATCTCAAGAAGAAAACAACATTATGGGCAGTAGAAAGTTCATGTGGACAGGACGAAGCAACTAAAGGCTCCTCAGATTTGCATTGCACCAAGGACCTCGCCATAGATCATAGCGATTCAGGCCACATCAGAGAAGCCAAAGAATTCAAATCCTGATGGTGGAACACAAAATTGTTCCTAGAATTCCAAATTGCCTAAGCAGTCGAAGCCACCCTCCCCATGATTTCGAGCGAACAAGGAATATTCTGCAAAACATCCAAAAGAGACGAGAACCATTGCATGACAGTAACATGAGGATCCAAAATCATTCTCAAACCCAACTCAGACCCAAACCATACTTTCTTTGCCCATTCACATTCAAAAAGCAAGTGTTCAATAGTTTAGATTTTCTCTGCACATATAGGACACCAGGGAGAAATAACACACTTTCTTTTAAATAGATTATCACGTGTAGTCATTGCATTATTACAGGCTCTCCACCAAAAATGTTTAACCTTTGGAATGGCTACCATATGCCAGACAACAAACCAAAATTTTGGATGAGGGGTGAAAGAAGAACCAGAAGCAGCACTGATAGAATGGTCAATATTAATAGCAAGAGAATAACCTGATCTGACTGAATAAGCTCCGCTTGGGGTCAAACTCCAAATTTGCCTGTCAGCCGAAGGAACCTTTGGAATTGGAATATCCAAAATGGACTTGCACTCTTGCTCATCGAAAAGTCCTTTGATAATCCCTGCATTCCACTCCCTAGATGGAAGGGATAAAAGTTGATTAACCCATGTAACATTATAGTCAGGGGGTCTGGAGGACCGAACAACACCATTTTCAAACAGGGGAATCCAATTATCTTCCCAAATGTTCACCATATTGCCCTCCAAAACCTACCAACTGAGACCTTTATCCAGAAGTTCCCTGCCTTTAACAGACTATTCCAAACCCAAGATGGCCTAGCTCCTTTCTCAGCCTTCATGAAGTCTCTGTCAGGGAAATAAATAGATTTCAAAAACCTAGCCCAAAAAGAGTCAGGATTTTGAATTGACCTCCAACATTGTTTGGCAAGTAAAGCCTGATTGAAAAGAAAAAAATCTTTAAAACCCATCCCCCCTCTTGCTTTGTTTCCACCATTCTATTCCAACACTTCCAGCTAATACCTCTCTTATCCCCTCCGCCTCCCCACCAAAAACTCCTCACATATTTACTAATCTTATCACAAAAACACTTGGGGAACGCTAAGACAAACATGGCATAATTAGGGATCGCTTGGATGACCGCCTTAATGAGAACTTCTTTGCCAGCTTGTGCGAGGAAAATACTTTTCCACCCTTGCAACTTCTTCAGAATCCTTTCCAAAGATAACCAAATAGATCACCCTTTGATCTTCCATACGAAAAAGGCAAACCCAAGTATTTTATCCCTTGATCCAAAAGATTTAAACCCAACAAATTGCAAGCATGAGACTTTTGTTCATCCGTTGCATTTGCAGAGAAGATAATGCCAGATTTTTGATGATTTAGGCTCTGCCCGGAGGCTAAGCAAAACTTGTGAAGAATATTCATGACATAAGAAATATCTTGCGCCTTAGCTTTGAAAAAGAAAAATGAATCGTCCGCAAAAAATAGATGTGATATAGCTGGGTACCTCTACGGACTTTAACACCCGAAAATTTTCTTTCTTCCACCCCTTTTTGCAACATCGAAGACAAGACATCAGCAACCAAAATAAAGAGATAAGGAGAAATTGAGTCACCTTGTCTAATGCCTCTCCGTGGGACAACTTCGCATCTTGTTTCACCATTAATAATCATTTGGAAGCGAATAATACTAACACATTGGATGATAAGATGCACCCAACGTTGATCAAAACCCAACTTTAGCATTACTGCCTCCAAAAAATCTCATTTAGTTCTGTCGTAAGCTTTGCTAATGTCCATCTTAATAGCCAAATCAAGGAACTTACCTTTCCTGTTCAATCGCATGTGATGGAGAACCTTGTTAGCTATAATGATACTATCTTGAATTTGCCTGTGAGGGACAAAACCAGCCTATTGAGGAGAAATAATGGATGACATAAGTCCTTTCATTCTATTGGCTAAAACCTTCGAGATCACCTTATATAAGAAGTTGCAAAGCGCTATCGGTCTGAACTGGGCAATCCTTTCAAGCGAAAATTCCTTTGGAATTAGGACTAAATTTGTTCTATTCAACTCCCTAAGCATGAAACCCTGTTCAAAAGAATTCTTTACAACCCTCACCACATCCTCCCCGACAATATTCCAATAGGTGTGAAAGAAAATACCCACGAAACCGTCAGGTCCTAGGGCCTTAAGAGTCCCCAACTACATAACAGCCATCTAGACCTCTGCATCCTGGATCGGCCTGAGCAGCTGTTGGTTATTATCATCAGAAACCTTCCTTTCCACAACCCCCAAAACCTCATCAAATCTCTCTGCCCCACTGCAGAAAATAGTTCCTGGAAATACTGTTTGATGTGAACATTCAGCTCCTCCTTGTCTTCAATCCAAGCTGCCTCGACATTCTTTAATCTCAAGATTTTGTTTCATTGCCTGCACTGAATGGTGGTGAGATGGAAAAATTTTGTATTTTGATCCCCCGATTGCAGCCAGTTTAATCTGGATCTTTGCTTCCAAAAAATTTCCTCCCTTCTCCTAATGCCATCCATTTCAGCCAAAATTTCCCTCTCCTTTTGTAAATTATCCTCCGAAGCCTCTGACATTTGTAGATTAACCAACTGCACATTTAACTCAGACAATAATCGTCTTCATCACCAAACCTCTGTCTACTCCACGCCTTAAGCTCCTTGCCATACTTTTCCAACTTCTTTGCCATTCCAAACAACACGGATCCATGCCCAGCTTCCACCCAACTCTTTTTAATAACTTCCTCACATTTGTCATCATCCATCCAACAAGCTTCAAACTTGAAAGAAGCTTTCGATTTCTTGAAAACTGGCTCCAAAATGACAATGATGATCCGATCCCACCCTTGCCTCGTGAATGACCTGCATAGAAGGGTGACACAAACTCCATTATGAGTTGACCAAGACTCTATCCAATCTTTCTTGCACATTGGTTGTCCCCGGCCTATTATTTGACCATGTAAATTTTGGCCCCTTAAAATCCATATCAATCAGATTACACATTGATATCAGGCTTTGCAATTCTTCCATTTTTTTTTGCTTTACTCGCTCGTCCCCTTCCTTCTCCAAAAGGGATCTAATAACATTAAAATCACCCGAAACTAGCAAGGCCCTTGCATTGTTGGAGGCCAGGCTCTTCAGTTGTTGCCATATTTTCTGCCTTCGAACAAATACATTATCAGCATACAAAAAAGTATAATGTCATTCCTGTGATTGATTTTGCCTTCTACCCACAACATGGATCGTATTCTGGTTCTTTAACTCAATATGCAAATCAATATCATCCTTCCACCATAGTGCCAATCCACCAGCAGTCCCCCTTGGTTCAACGTAATCGCTATGCGAGAAATTAAAACTCCTTCTCAATATGTCCAACTTTTGCGTTCCATTCTTTGTCTCCATAAGAACAACAATAGTGGGACGATGGATATTAATTAACCCTCTCAAATTTTTGACTGTCCGGGGTCGTCCCACTCCCTTACAGTTCCATAAAAGAATCAACATAGAGACTGTGGCTATTGAAGGCCAGCCATCATTGCCCTTTCCGAAGCCATCTCTTCTTTATCATTCTCCATAGAGGATTTCGAGTCATTGGACATTTGCTGAGAAAAACAGGAATTTAAATTATTCTCACCTTGTTCCTCTTTATTCGCCACTGACTCCTTGTCTTCTTGCTCTGCCACAAAGGCAAAATAGATTTCTGAATGAGTCAATCGTCTAATCTTTCTCCTATTACCTCCCGTAGAGCATCCAACTGTCTTTCTTGATTTATGTGTCTGAGGTCTAGCTACCTGAGATTGAACTGGGGGGAAGTCCCCTTGTGGCTGGAAGGCAAGGTGTATTCTCTACTCAAGCGATAGGTTCTCCCCTCCTTTCTGCTTTTTTCTTGGACCAGAGTGACCATTATTTTCCTCGTCTATCTGAGCGTTCCTTTTTATTGCTAGCTCTTGAAATTTCCTCTGCAGTCTTTCTTCTGCAAGAACAACATCTACCCCTAATCTGAGCAATTGGGTCCATACCCCACCAGACTCAATAGAATGGACTTCCCCTTCACTTGTATCTCCATTTGACTCTGGGCTCTCATTCGGTTCTGTCACATAATAATTCTTCATCGTTGGGCCTCTGTCAGCCAACTGGTCTCCACGGGAAAGTGTTTCATTGTGTGAGCCAGGATCCTTTGGGCTTTGGCAAACATCCTTATGCATAATGGGTTTGGGCCCTGCGACAGTGTGAACACATAACTTTGAAAGTGCATCATATGTCCAACATTTTATTTTAGGGTTAATTGTAAGTTGCACCTTGAAAGATAGTGAAAATCTCAATTTGTACCTCCAAAGATCAAAAATCTCAATTTGCACCCTCAAAGATAGAAATTTGTATCAATGTGTACCCCCAAAGATAAAAATCTCAATTTGTACCCTTAAAAATAGAAATTTGTATCAATGTGCACCTAAAACTAAATTGATAAATTATACCTAGATCTCTTTATGCTTGTTACTTAATTATTTGGACCCCTTCACATTTAGAATATTACTCCTACATCTCATGACGTTTGTGCACGTATAACATGTAATCCCTTTTTATTTATATCTGTTAATATAACCGTTAAAAAATATGATTTTATCATAATAAAAAATTATAATTTCATATTACCCTTCATTTTGTGGGTTCAATATACTCTAAAGTTCAAAATCAAGTTTATCATTGCACATTATAGTTTTTTATTAAGATAATTTTTTTTTTTTAACGGTTATATTAACAGATATCAATGAAAGGGGGTTACGTGTTACACGTGCACAAACGTTATGATATGTATGATTAATATTCTAAATGTGAAGGGGTCCAAATGATTAAGTAACAAGCATGAAGAAATCTATGTATAATTTATCAATTTAGTTTTAGGTGCACATTGATACAAATTTCTATTTTTGAGGGTGCAAGTTGA